AGGAGACAATTTGACTATAAAATTTATTCGACAAAACGAAGAGCAAGAAGGAAGGAGACCTTCGGAGAAGAACAGTGTGGGGCTTGAGGCGGCGCAGTCGGCCACGGGAATGAGCAGACGCCGCGGGCCGGAGAGCAGACCTGGAAACGGGGGTGCGCCACGGGGGACGGGCATCCTGCCACGGGGAGAGGGGCTCCGGCCTGTGCTGTGCAGGGGGCGGGCCAACGTGGACAAGACAGAACTGGACCGTTCCTTAGGCGACACACCGGCTGCATCCCGAACGGAGCACAGGCGTCACGGGGAGAACCCGGTTTTATCTTCATTCTTTTTTTTAAAAAATATATTTTAATGATTTTTTACAGAGAGGAAGGGAGAGGGATAGAGAGTTAGAAACATCGATGAGAGAGAAACATCGACCAGCTGCCTCCTGCACACCCACTACTGGGGATGTGCCCGCAACCAAGGTACATGCCCTTGAGCGGAATCGAACCTGGGACCCTTCAGTCCGCAGGCCGACCCTCTATCCACTGAGCCAAACCAGTCAGGGCTATCTTCATTCTTTCACGGTCACACTGTGGCGGCTTTTCCAAGAATTCCCTGGTTCCCCCGGCCCCGCCCGCCTCCTGCTCTCCTGCGACCGTCTCGGTTCCTGCTTTCTGTTTGGGCCCCGATCCCACTTTAGCTTTCTCGCCAGGTGCGCCGTGTAGAGCGAGGCCCCTTCACCTGTGCACCTGGTGGCCACGTGCTCCAGCCCCGGGTTCGGAAAAGTGTGTCCCTGCTGCTTGGCAATTGGCCACACGACGGGGTGACTGCACCTCCTCATCAGACCTCGTGGGAACGCGTGTCTGTAACTCCCGTCTAATGGCCTCCTGACAAGCACTTACCTCTCAAAGTTAAACGTCTTGTGGATGGAGTGGTGACCGGGCCGGCTGCACCTCACCACGACGGTCTCCTAATGGGAAAGGGTGAAGGCGTGAGGCCCGGCCAGGCTCAGCGGCGACCCCGCGCCGACCCTGAGAACAGAGTCCCGGACACAGCCCCGCCCGCTCCGTCGCCATCTGCACCGCGTTTTCCCCGACGGCACGGCTGAGTGGCCGAGACAGAGACCGTGTGGCACTCAGAGGCGGCCACCCTGACCCTGGCCCCTTCTGAGGGCCTGCT